TTTTTAATTTTCCGCCATGATGTTTTCTGTTATAGAAGGGATTTAATTACATGCTGAAGGCCGCTTGTGAATTTTAAGCAGAATACCAGTAGCTGCTATCTGCAGGACACACAAGCTTCACGTGGATTCATTTCACAGCGATACTCAGCATCTATTGTTCTCGGTCCATATTAATCACAGTTTTGCAAAGGAAGGTCTAGATACAGAAGATGAGGTAGGAGCTTAGAGACCATTGTGGCAATCTGAATGAGAAGTGACACAGGCTTCACTGGGCTGGTGGCAGTGGGGTGTATTGGAACTCTTAGCAGAGCTCACTGTCCCTTCCATGGCCTGTTTTGGGGAGCAACTGGTGCTGGACTGGGTGGAGTGCATTGGACAGTGTGGTGCTGGGGAATACAGCCTGGACAAAACCCAAAATACTCTCCACAGCAAATGAATGGAAAAGGTGGCCTTCAGAGTGTGAACAGCGTAGAGGGGAGGTGTCCCTAGGGGTGGGATGAGTTGAGGTCTTCTGTTGGAAGGCTGAGAGTGGCCATCCCAGATGGAGTGAGTCTGTGCTCTGCTTTTGAACGATTATGGGTTTGATGTAACCCAGAAGGCTGAGGGCACACACACCTCCCAATCCAGGATTTTATGTGATGCAATTCTCGGGATTAGGGAATCTTTAGAGTCTTAGCCAGAGTCCTTATCTCTTGCTTAAGAAGCACAGTACAGCATAATCTCTGTGGACAAAAAGCTTCTTGTGGTATAATTCTCACCACCTTAGAGACCAGGAAATGGAGTCTTAGCCCCACTATTTCTAGTCCTGGAACAGGAAGCCCTGAATACCTGAAAGGAGAATCACAAACACTTATCCTTCTGCCCCTGGAAGGGAGTGAGCACTACCCATTGTGCGCTGAAACCTGGGGCCAGGGCCTTCAGGAAGAGCTTTCTTCTTCCCTGAATAGGGGTGCCTCCGCAGGGATTCTGGTGGGCAAGATTCCCTGCAGCAGAGGAAGGAGACCAGCCGAGACCCAGGACAGTTTCTGCTGCCTCCAGGAAGTAAGTCCTGGTGGTACAATTTGTGTGAAAAGAAAATTACTTCTAATTGACAGGTTGAGATAAAAATATCTCCAATCTGTAAACAAAGTAGTTGGAGCATCCTGGAGACACAAGGCTTGTGCACACCCGGGCTGCTGGCAGGTTGTCTGTCTGTGGGCGGAGCACCCCAAACCCCTCCCAAATCCTTTCACCCAGGTTTCACCCCCAGTGGATGCCCTGGCTCAGCTCCCAGACACTTGGGTTGCACATGTGTCCTTAATATGCATCGGTGCTTGGTGCTCCGTGATCTGCTCTCTGGAGTTTCTCACCTTCTCCTTTCCCGGCCCCGGGGAGATATTCATTAGATTTAGTGGAGAAATAAAAAAGAGCTGGTGTATTTTATGTCACCACAGGTGTCCTTCCTGATGGCAGCCTGGGGAGTGTGGTTTACTAGGTCTCCTCATACCTTCCCAGTGAGAGGCCCCGCAAAGGAAGAACTGAAGCTGACATCCTGACAAGGCAGCCTGGGACCCATAATCCTTCCATGCCTCAGTCACGCGGAAGTACAGCGTGTCACAAGCTTCTGTTATGGGGCTGTCCATTCCCTGTGGGTCCTGTTTTCACATGCACTGGTTTGTAGAGCCCTGGCTTAGGATTAGGCAAGCAGGACACTTAACCCCCTCCCTGAAGAGGTAGTATACTGCCATTTTCTCGGTCTCTCTTTCTTTCTCTCTCTCTCTCTCACACACACAACTGTGCCTTTGGTGGAACTAAGTAGCTTCTTATAAAGTTCTCTCTCTAGGAAACTGCTCAACGGAACTTTGGCTTTATGCTGCCCCCTTTTAACCCAACCACTGCAAAGAAAATTGGCAATAAATTGGTACTGTGGAGAGATACCCTCCACAAAAGAATATCAGAAGGGATGGAAGTTTTGCATGTTACTGCTTCCTTATGGGGAGTGTGTCCTCCTATTTAGATAAATTCAATGAATATTTTGAAGAGAAGGAGCAGGAAGAGATAGTTGGGGTAAAATGTGAGAATACAGGATTGAGGATATTGAAGGGAGGAACATAGAGCAACAGGATGTTTGTTAAGCTCTGATGTGAGATTTTTTTAAGATTTATTTTTATTTTTTTGTGTATGCAAGAACTGGGGTGTAGTAGGGATGAGAGAATTCACCAGAGACAGAGTAGGGAGCAGAACATGCAGATCTACTGAAATACACTGCTAAAAGGAGCAGTGGGAGACAGGAGAGGTCTGTCTGCTGCACGATGTGGGTCAACTTCCTGGCTGGGGATGGACTTCACGCTGCAGTGGTTGTAGATAGCTTCATTATGGCAACAGGTAGTTCCCCAAAACCTCACTTTTTGTTTGCCAGTTGATTTGCACTGCATTGATATTGAAAAGTATTGCAAATGCTTCTATTTAAGTTAAGCACAAGCTCTTTTTTTTAATTTTTAAAGATTTATTTATTTGTGCATACAGAACTGGGATACAGGCCAGAGGCTCAGGGGAGGCGAGAGGCTTCACCAGAGACAGAGTGGGGAGCAGAACAGGCAGATCGATGAAGTACACTGCTGAGGGGAGCAGCG